CCTGTCCATATGTCCAATTGTTAAAATTACCACACATTTTAAGAGCTTAATGTAAGTTGTACAAATCAGAAATCAAGTATAGGTCCCACTCTGTTGGGTTCTGTGAAAGATTTTTTTTCTGCCTTGTGTTTCCAGATTTGAAATGTCCGGCCCTCAGCAGGAGAAAACGAGCCACGACTATAATGGACGTAACAACTAGCTTGGGTAAGAAACACACTCTTAAATTCCCGAGTAACATCTCATGTCCCTCAGGTCAGGCTCTCCGTGATGTCTGTAGAAGGTCTTCTTGCGCTGCTGACTTTTTCACTACTCTACTTTGCCATACCATGTATTGGGGTTCTATAGGGACAGTGAGTGGAGCCCAGTGAATGACATGACATTGACCCAGCCATACTGATTTTCATTGGCTAAAAGTTAGTTGCTGTAGCCTGCCTACTTCTTTGTAACCTGGCAGCTGAAGTGAAATTGAGGGCCCCAGCCAACCCAGAAAGCATGGAAGTGAACTGGGTGGAGCCATGACCTTAACTTGCAAGGGTCAAAAGACAAGCACTAGACACACTGCACAACACATTTCCTGGGTCATTAAGGAGCACGAAAAGATGTAGGTGTATCATGTGCAGATTGGAGTCAAGCGCAACACAGCTTACATACACCCAACCCTCTTCGCTGTTGTTCTAGCGAGCCCGGACCCTGAAAAGGAGCCCAACATGTCTAAGAGATAGAATCATATGAACAGACCGGGCGTAGATCACAATGCTTTCATATGTCCTCAACACTCACTCAACAAAACATGGCTGCCAAGATTGCCACACTGCATATATAAACACAGAGGGAGGATCCCTACCTGACCGCCTGTAGGCTTGAGATATCCACCCACAACACCATATTGCAATGCGTTTCCTGAATATGGTCTTACCAGCGACTCCATCATCAAAGCAATGCATCTGATGAGAGGGGGCAAGACAAAAGCTGCCGGAGCTGGGCAAGCCGGGCCGTAAATTCCCAGGACACTGAAGTACTGGGCACAGAAGAGATATGTCATTATCTGCAGATGATGCTGTTGTCTCAGAGGGGATGACTGGAGGTGGTGGCATGTTGACAGTCAGAGCAGGTGTCTGCGTTATTGGCCTCAAGTTCTGCCTCACTCTAATGGTGGCGAAGCACACATCAAAACATTTGCAGTGATCCCACCATTGCTGGTGTGTAAACTTGGACTGCGCCTGACAGGCCTTGCATGCCGGTGGCTGCTGAGCACCACTCTCAGTACCAAATAGCTTAGGAGGTTATGTGGCGAGTTGCAACTCCATCTGTGAAGGAAGCTAATCAGTGGGCACTCACTGACACTGTAGACTGAATGGTTAATGGATGCTGTCATAGTAAATAGTAGTAAATCCTCAAGCGAGTAGTATGATTGACATTACAAGGGCACTATGTACAGCAGGCTTAGCTTGATACAAAATGACTGTTAACTGATTATCATCACAACCAAATGTAATTTCACTTTATCCTATCATCACTCTGTGATAAAAGTCTTGTAAAATTCTACAGTACATCTGTCCATATGAAAACTTTTAGCACTATCTTCTATGAATTTTTCATTGTTGTCACCATGGTTTGGCCAGATTCCCCAGATTTGGCTACTGTTATGAAGATCAGGCAGGTTTTAGCCTCTGATTGGGCTATTTTTGGTCAGTCCAATCTGGCAACACTGCTTGTACTCCATATCTTCTTTCTTCTGTCTCTCCCCCACAACCCCATTTCTTTCCAGCAAGTCAATATGAGGACCAACTGCAACGTGAATGTTGTTTGGATGGCATGAGGGAAACCCCCATTCCATACACTTGTGAGAGGCGCAGCGAGTACATCAATGATGGTACAGCCTGTGTTGAGGCTTTCCTGCGCTGCTGCAAGGAGATGGAAATCCAGCGAGCTGAGATGAAGGAGGATAGCCTGCGACTGGCTCGAAGTAAGAGACGGGGACAAGGGATCGGTTGAAGCCCTGGGGATCGGTTGAAGCCCTGGGTAGTTACTGGTGGTCATACAGAAACAGTAAAACAATCAGTATAATAACCTTTTTAATGACACCTTAGCTGAAGAGGAAGACAGTTACTTGGACAGCAATGAAATTGTTTCTCGCACCAACTTCCCTGAAAGTTGGCTGTGGTCAGATATCACGCTGCCCCCTTGCCCTGATAGTAAACCTAATTGGTGAGTCAACTGAAGCTTATACACTCACAAAATACTTGATAGCTTTAATTTCACCTCTAAAAGTATTATTCTTTGTTTCAGTGACACCACATCAGTGACAAAAAGTGTTCCTTTGCAAGACTCAATCACAACCTGGCAGTTCACTGGCATCAGTCTGTCAAGAACTCTCGGTGAGGATTCAATGAATTAAATGTCTTGTGTCTTAGTTGCGCTACAAACCTCAAAACCAAGAGCCCAAACTACATTCCATGGTTTCTCTATTTCCATTAGTCTGTTCCTCACCCAGCTACCCTTTCTGTCCTTGATTCATGCCTTGTTTTT